TTAAAAAAAAAAAAAAGATCTATCCTGAAATACAATGCTGTCAATGATAGGATCATATCCATATGCCTACAAGGAAGACCAGGAGCTCTGGTAGCATAATGCCTAAAGGCACTTGACTGCTAACCAGAAGGCTGGTGATTCAAACACACCAGCCACTTCTCAGAAGGAAGGTTGAGCAATCTACTTCTGTAATGATACTGCCTCAGAAACCCAAGGAGGGGTCATTGTGAGTCAGGTCTGACTCCATGGCACATAACAACAACACAAGGAAGACCAGTTAATACTACTGTTATTCAAATTTACACACCAACCATCAAAGCCAAAGATGAGGAAATTGAAGATTTTTACCAACTTCTGCAGTCTGAAATTGACCAAGTATTCAATCAAAATGTATTCATTATTACTGGTGATTGGAATGCAAAAGTTGGTAACAAAGAAGAATCAAGAGTAGGTGGAAAATATGGCCTTGGTGATAGAAATAACGCTGGAGATCATATGATACAATTTTGCAAGACCAACAACTTATTCATTGCAAATACTTTTTTTCAACACCACAAATGGTGGATATACATGTGCACTTCACCAGATGGAGTACACATGAATCAGACTGACTACATCTGTGACAAGAGATGATGGAGAAGCTCAATATGTTCAGCAAAAACAAGGCCAGGAGCTGATTGTGGAACAGACCATCAACTGCTCATATGCAAGTTCAAGTTGAAGCTGAAGACAATTAAAAGAAGTCCATGAGACCCAAAATATGATCTTATTTATATCCCTCCTGATTTTAGAGACCATCCAAAGAATAGATTTGATGCATTAAATACCAGTGACTGAAAACCAGAGGAATTGTGGGATGACATCAAGAACACCATCCATAAAGAAAGCAAAAAGTCATTGAAAAGACAGGAAAGGAAGTAAAAACCAAAAAGGATGTCAGAAGAGACTCTGAAACTTGTCCTTGAGTGGAGAGTAGCTAAAGCAAATTGAAGAAGTGACAAAAGAGCTGAACAGAAAATTTCAAAGAGCAGCTCGAGAAGACAAAGTCAGTTATTACAATGAAATGTGCAAAAACCTGGAGTTAGAAAACCAAAAGGGAAGAACACACTTGGCATTTCTCTAGCTGAAAGAACTAAAGAAAAAATTCAAGTCTCGAGTTGCAATATTGAAAGATTCTATTGGAAATATATTGAATGATGCAGGAAACATCAAAAGAAGATGGAAGGAATACACAGAGTCACTGTACCAAAAAGAATTGGTCCATGTTTATCCA